AGTAGGAGGATATCTGGGACGTTCTGGAGTGGAATGCCTCATCTTGGGAGCAGATACGGTGGAGGCAGAGGAATTGGGAGTATTGGATAGCATCTTTGCAGGAGGGTGGGTGAGAGGAGGTGTAGTCGACGTAGTTGTGGGAGCCAGTGGGTTTGAAATGGATGTTGGTGGTGAGTTCGTTTTCAGAGATGGAGACGGAGAGGTCCACGAAGTGTCAGAAATAGTCCAGGTGAATTTGAGGGTGGGCTGAAGGTGTTGGCAATGTTGATGAACTCCTCGCAGGAACACGAGACTGCACCAATACAGTCATCAATACCGCAGAGGAAGAGATGAGGGCTAGTGCTGGTGTAGTTGCTCCTCTGTCTAATGGTCTTATTTATGGCCTTATTAAAACAAGCAGGATACAGTATTACTACTTTGCAGAGTCTGAAACCTCAAAAGAAGTTTTTGCTAGTTAACTGAATTTGAAGCTTTTTTAAAGATTTCATTTGGTATTTCAAAAAACATTTTCAAACTTTGAAATAACTTGAAAACAAATGGCACTGATTTAGTTCAAGAATACTTGCTTGAAGTAAGCAGACTACAATCAGTACTATAATACTACAACTTGAAAAAAATAAATAAACACATTAAGAAGAAATGGGATGAGAAATGATACATCCAAAATGATTTTATGTAAGGGATGAACCAAAAACAAACCCACACAGGACTGGATTGCATGGGAAAGACAGTTCTGAAGATAAAGAATTCCTTCAAAATTAGACAATACATTCGAAGCTAAAGAAGTTAATATACATATTATATATATATAATCTGTTCTGAAGAACGATCACCGGACCTGAAACCTTAACTCTGCTTTCTCTTCAAAGATGCTGCCACATCTGCTGAGTTTTTCCAGCAATTTAAATTTTTGTTTCTGATTTCCATTATCAGCAGTTCTTTAGGTTTTAAGTTAATATACATATATTACATTCAATAGCCCTTATAGTAGATGACACTAGAAATCAACAAAATATCAACAAAGATACAAATACTTTCAAAAGCTTTTGAAAATTACTTGCATTGAGAACAAACAAAATTCTTGAAAGGGCATGACTTAAGTGAAGAAAGAGTTCAACTTCCAGGGGTATACATAGACTATTTCATTAATGATGTTTTCAAATCAGTGGAATAATGTGACTGTAACTTTGAAATTCAGAATTATTATTGGAATTATGGAGTGCTTGACAAGATTTATACATCAACATGGGATGTGGAAATCGCTGTTAGGCACTATTCATTGCCCACAAAAGATGCTGGTGTGCTACCTTAGGACAGGAGTAGGCCATTCAACCCATCAAGCCTGTTCTGCTATTTAACCAGATCATAACTGATTAGTACCTTAATGCCACTTTCCCACAATATCTCCATATCGCTTAATGTCATTAGTCTCCAGAAACTTATTAATGTCTTTCTTGAACTTAGTTAACACAACTCGGGGGTACAGAATTTCAAATTCCAAAAACTCCTCATCCTCTAATTGAAAAAATTCTTCCTCATCTCCAACTAAAATGGCCTACCCATTATCCTGAGGTTGTATCCCTGGCCAGGGGAAACATCATATCTTTATCTGCCCTCTAAGAATATTTTCTGAGATCCCTTCTTATTTTTTGAAACTCAGTAGAATAAGGGCACAGTTTCTTCATTTCCTTCTCATAAGAGAATCCCACCATCAAAGGAATTAATCTGGTAAACCTCCATTACATTCTTTGCATGGCAAGAATATCCCTCCTTAGATAAGGTGAACAAAATATGTGAGGTCCCAACAAAGCTTTATAGCAACTGCATGAAAACATCATCCCCCCCGGAACTCAAATCCTCTTGAAATGAAGGCTAGCATATTGTTTGCCTTTCTAGTTGCTTGCTGTACCTGCATGCTATCTTTTAGTAACTCATGGGACAAAGATCCTTTTGGGCTCCCACATTTCTCAGACTTTCACCATTTAAGAATTGTTATGCCTTTGTTTTTTCTACAAAATAAATAGCTTCACACTTATTTTCATTACAATTCATCTTCCTTATTCTAATCTCACTCATTCAGTCTTCTTGGAGCTTCTTTGCAGCCTCCTCACAATTTACATTTGCCCTATTTGATATCATCAGCAAATTGAGAAATCTTACAACTGGTCGCCACATTCAAATCATTTATACAGACTATGTACCGAGCACTGACCCTTGTGCCACTCCACTGGTAACAGCCTGCCATTCTGAGAATATGTTTAATTCCCCTCTCTACTCTTCGTCTATACTGGATTGCTATCTAGTAGCATAGTATATTCCCTCAAGCCCATGTGCTCTAATTTTATTTCTTAAACTCCAGTGTGGGACCTGACCGAGGTTTTCTGAAAATAAGTAATGTCTTCAAAAAAAAACTCTTAAGTTTCTCAAAAATGGTTTGTTTCTCAAAAATGGTTTCAGTTTCTCAAAAATGGTTTGTTTCTCAAAAATGGTTTCAGTTTCTCAAAAATGGTTTCTGTCCAGGGATGAGCAGGCTCACACAGGGGGGCAATGGCCTAGTGGTATTATCATTGGACTCTTAATCCAGAGACCCAGATAATGTTCTGGGGATCCAGGTTTGAATCCTGCCATGGCAGATGGTAGAATTTGAATTCAATAAATATCTGGAATTAAGAATCAAATGATGACCATGAATCCATTGTCGATTGTTGGAAAAACCCATCAGGTTCACTAATGTCCTCCTTTAGGGAAGGAAACTGCCATTCTTACCTAGTCTGGCCTACACGTGACTCCGGACTCACAGCAATGTGGTTGACTCTTAACTGCCTCTGGGCAATTAGGGATGGGCAATAAATGCTGCCTAGCCAGCATCACCCTCATTCCGTGAATGAATTAAAAAAAGGTTAGCTGGATTAGCCATGGAAACTACATGGTTACAGGTCTAGGGTACTGGGCTGGGTCTGGGTAGGGGGCTGAGTCTGGATGGGATGCTCTTCAGGAGAGTCAGTATGGACTTGATGGGCTGAATGGTCCTACACTGGAGGGATTCTATGATTCTATTTCTACTTATTGTGATCTTATGATCGTGTAACTGTTAAAAATGATAATTCAATACAAAATTAAGGCTTTTCCACCACAGATCGTGAATTGACTGGCATCAGATTGCAGAACTTATCCTCGTATCCTTCTAAACAAATGCATAACATTTCCAAAATCTCCAGGCCTTTGTCACCACTTCTGTGCCTGGATTTAAGACTTAGATAAACAAATTTTGGTTCTCTTGGGGCATTGAGGGACACAAAGAGTAGATGGAATTTGGATCTGAAGCTGAAGATCAGCCATGACCATATTGAATAACGGAACTGGCTCGATGGGTTGACTGGTATACTCATAGAATCATAGAGATGCACAGCATGGAAACAGACCCTTTGGTCCAACTTGTCCATGCGAACCAGATATCCTAGATAAATCTAGTCAAATTTTCCAGCATTTGGTCCATATCCGTCTAAACCCTTCCTATTCATATACCCATCTAGATGCCTTTTAAATGTTGCAATTGTGCCAGCCTTCACCACTTCCTCTGGCAGCTCATTCCATAGACACAGCACCCTCTGCATGAAAAAGTTGGCCCTTAGGTCCCTTTTAAATCTTTCCCCTCCCACCTTAAACCTATGCCCTCTAGTTTTGGACTCCCCTACAGAATCCATACAGTGTGGAAGCAGGACACTCGGCCCATCGAGTCCACACTGAACCTCCAAAGAGCATCCCACTCAGACCCATCCCCTACCCTATCACTGTATTTCCCACCCTAGAAACTATGGACAATTTAGCATGCCTGATCCACCTGAGCTATACATCTTTGGACTGTAGGAGGAAACCGGAGCACCTGGAGGAAGCCCACGTAGACAACAGGAGAATATACAAACTCCACACAGACAGTTGCCTGAGGCTGGAATCAAACCTGGATCCTTGGTGCTAACCACTGAGCCATCATGCCGCCCCAAGCCAGGGAAAAGACCTTGTCTATTTACCCTATCCATGCACCTCATGATTTCATAAACCTCTACAAGCTCACCCCTCAGCCTCCAATGCTCCAGGGAAAATAGCCCCAGTCCATTCAGCCTCTCCGTATAGGTCAAACCCTCCAACCCTGGCAACATCCTCGCAAGTCTTTTCTGAACCCTTTCAAGTTTCACAACATCCTTCCTATAGTAGGGAGACCAGAATTGCACATAGTATTCCAAAAGTGGCCTAACCAATTTCCTGTACAGCCGCAACATGACCTCCCAACTCCTATACTCAATGCACTGACCAATAAAGGCAAGCGTACCAAACACCTTCTTCACTATCCTATCTATCTGCGACTCAACTTTCAAGGAACAATGAACCTGCACTCTGAGGTCTCTTTGTTCAGCAACACTCCCCAGGACCTTACTATGAAGTACGTAAGTCCTGCCCTGATTCGCCTTTCCAAAATGTAGCACCTCACAGTTATCTAAATTAAACTCCACCTGCCACTCCTCAGCCCATTGGCCCATCTGAGCAAGATCCCATTGTAATTTGAGGTAATCTTCTTTGCTGTCCACTGCACTTCCAATTTTGGTGTCATCTGCAAACTTACTAACCTATGTTCACATCCAAATCTTTTATAGAAATGACAAAAAGCAGTGGATCGAGCACCAATCCTTGTGGCACACCACTGGTCACAGGCCTACAGTCTGAAAAGCAAGCCACCACCACCATCCTCTATCTTCTACCTTTCAGCCAGTTCTATATCTGAATGGCTAGTTCTCCCTGTATTCCTTGTGATCTAACCTTGCTAACCTGTCTACCATGAGGAACTTTGTCAAACGCCTTACTGAAGTCCCTATAGATCACTCCTGTTCTTGTTTCCCATGTTGTTGCAAGATCAATCTAAACAGGGATTAGAGGTTAAAGAGTGTCAGAGGGGACAGTATCTGTAGGAGTGAAGGTTAAACCACAATCAGGAGCAATCAACTCACTTGTTTCTTTGGCAGCTTGGCTACTGACTTGTGCCTAAACAATTCCTGAAATATAAAAGCAGACAAAAGTAATCAACAAAACCTGGGGTAATTCTCTGCACTGGATGTAACAGGAAACAACTCTCTGAGCAAACACAGTAATGTTTCAACTATCGACCATCACATACACGGAGTGGGATGGGATCCTGAGACAAATGGGAAATTGTGTATAGTGTTAGGGATGACACACACCACAAGGTTAGAGGTCAGATTAGGCCACTTTATAAATGAGGCCACTTGGTTGTGGCAGTCTTATTCAAAAAGGCATCACACACCCAACAGCAGTCACATTGTCTATACAGTCAGAGATTAAAGATGAGGCACCATCCACAGGAGAAACATTGGCACAGACCAATATCTCAGTTAACAGCCTGGGCATTGTCAATTGACAATCGGTCCACAAAAGAGGGGTCAGTGTGATTGCAAAGACACAAGGCAAGCAAAGGAAAGTCCAGCCAGATGATTACACAGTCACAGAAGAAAGGGTCAACTGTTGACACAGGTCGCTCTATACGTGGGATCAGAAAGGACAGAGGTCATTCTGCACATGGGGTCAGTGTGGATGGGAATACTCTGTACACGGGGTCATTGTGGACAGGGTCAGTCTGTACACGGGCTAAGTACAGACAGGGTTCACTCTTATACAGGGTAGGTTATGATAATATTTATTGGCTACCTGTTAATCACTAACTCACATCTTTCACTGGCAACCTGGTTTGCATCTTAGATACATAAAGATCCTAAAATAGAAACAGACAGAAACAAATTGATCCGAAATCATGACAGATTTCCCTATCCCAGGTTTACAGCAACAACTTAGTGAGTAAATTTCTGAAGAAGGATCCCGACCGGAAACGTCGGCTTTCTTGCTCCTCTGATGCTGCCTGGCCTGCTGTGTTCCTCCAGCTCCACACTGTGTTATTAGTGAGCAAATGTCTCTGCTGTGTACAAAGGGACAGTGTGTACACACAGACAGTTAGAACAGGGCTCACTCTCTACACAGTATCAGTGCAGACAGAGGTCACTGCACTAGGGTCAGTGTGGACAGGGATCACTCTGTACTCAAGGCCAGTGTAAACAGGGGTCATTCAGTACACTGGCTCAGTGTGGACAGATGCAATCTGTACATAGGATCAGTGTGGACAGGCGTCATTCAGTACAAAGGCTCAGTGTGGACAGAGATCACACTGTACACAGGATCAGCGCAGACATGGGTCACACTGTACACAGGGTCAGTGCAGACAGGGGTCACACTGTACACAGGCTGAGGGCGGACAGGGGTCACACTGTACACAGGGTCAGTGCGGACAGGGGTCACACTGTACACAGGGTCAGGGCGGACGGGGTCACACTGTACACAGGGTCAGGGCGGACAGGGGTCACACTGTACACAGGGTCAGGGCAGACAGGGGTCACACTGTTAACAGGGTCAGGGCGGACAGGGGTCACACTGTACGCAGGGTCAGGGCAGACAGGGGTCACACTGTACACAGGAACAGTATGGAACAGGTGTCACACTGTACACAGGAACAGCGTGGAACAGGGTCAATCTCTATTATCAACAGGGGCTAACTTACTTGTTTCTTTGTCTTCCTTGTCTGTGTGCCTTGTTCTAAACTATCCTAAAATGAACAAACAACGAAACATATATATCAAAAAATCCCAGGATCGTAGTCTGCAGTCGGCCTCACAGAAAAGGATCCCCCACAGGTTCATTAACTATTTCTCCAGACTTGGAGTGGCACGTGAGGATTCCGATTAAAACAGGATCATTCTGTATGTGATAACTTTGTTTGGAGCTGGAGGAACACAGCAGGCAAGGCAGCATCAGAGGAGCAGGAAAATTGACGTTTCGGGTCTGGACCCTTCTTCAAAAAAACTTTCCTGCTCCGCTGATGCTGCGGGGCCTGCTGGTTCCTCCAGCTCCACACTGTATTATCTCTGACTCCAGCATCTGTGATTTTTACAATCATTCTGTGTGTGCTTTCGCATTTGCATAATATTCATAACTGGCACAAGGGAAAGATGAGAAAGGGATCAGATTTTGCAACATGTCAAACGACAGCAATGGCCGTGCTGTGCAGTTGCTTGGTGCGGACAAGGCTCACTCTGTACATGGGGTCAGTGCGGACAGGGGTCGTTCTGTACACAGGGTCAGTGTAAAAAGAGGTCACTCTGTATTGGGGTCAGTGTGGACAGACGTCACTCTGCACACAAAGTCAGCGTGGACAAGGATCAGTCTCTATTATCAACAGGGGCTAACTTACTTGTTTCTCTAGCTTCCTCATTTGTGTTCCTTGTTCTAAACTAGCCTAAAATGTACAAACTTCGAAAGACACACATCAATAAATCCCAGGATCACAGTCTGCAGTCAGCTTCACAGAAAAGGATCCCCCACAGGTTCATTAACTATTTCTCCAGGTTTGGAGTAACATGTAGGGATTCCGTTAAAATGGGTTCATTCTGTGTGTGCTTTCTAGTCTGCACAATGTTCACAACAGGCACAAGAGAAAAATGAGAAAGGGATCAGATTTTGCAAAGTGTCAGAGGACACCATAGGCCACAGTGTACAGGTACTCAGTGCAGACAAATGGCACTCTGTACATGGGGTCACTCCGGACAGGACTCACTCTGTACATGGTTTAGTGTGGACAGGAGTCAGTTTGTACACAGGGTCTGTGCAGAAAGAGGTCACTCTGTACACAGGGACGTTATGGAGAGGGGTTACTCCGTGTACGGGGCACGTTATGATAATATTTACTCTATCTGTAACCCACTAACCTACATCTTTCACTGGCACCCTAGTTTGTATCTTAAAAACATACAGGTCCTAAAATAGAAACAGACAGAAAGAAAATCCTCTGAGATTTCTCTGTCCTAGATACAGAGCAACAGATTCATGAACAATTGTGTACATGGGGTCAGTTAGGACAGGGGTAATTATCTAGATGGTCTCAGTGTCTACTGAGTCACTCTGTCCACGTGGTGAGTGTGTACAGAGGACACTCTGAACAGGGGTCACTCTGTACACAGGGTCAGTGCAGACAGGGGTCACTTTGTACTCAGGCTCAGAGCGGAGAGGGGTCATACTGTACATGGGGTCAGAGTGGTCAGGGGTCACTTTGTACTCAGGCTCAGAGCGGAGAGGGGTCACTCTGTACACAGGGTCAGTGCGAGCAGAGGTCACTTTGTATTCAGGGTCAGAGTGGAGATGGGTCACTCTGTACATGGGGTCAGAGTGGTCAGGGGTCCCGGTGTACATGAGGTCAGTGCAGGCTAGGGTCACTCTGTACACGAGATCAGAGCGGACAAGGGCCAGTCTGTACATAGGGTCAGTGCAGACAGGGGTCACTCTGCTACACGGGGTCAGTGCGGACAAGGGCCAGTCTGTACACGGGGTCAGTGCGGACAAGGGTCACTCTGTACACAAGGTCAGTGAAGACAGAGGTCACTCTGTATACAGGGACAGTGTAGACACGTCACTATGTATACAGGGTAAGTTATGATAATGTTTACTCTATCTGTGACCCACTAACTCACATCTTTCACTGGCACCCTGGTTTGCTTCTTAGATACATAAAGGTCCTAAAATAGAAACAGACAGAAAAAAAAAATCAATCAGAAAGCCTGTCAGATCTTTCTATCCCAGGTGAACAGCAAATGTTGCTGTTGTGTACAAAGGTTCACAGGATCAGTGTTTAAGCACAATACAATGTGGAGCTGGAGGAAAACAGCAGGCCAGGCAGCATCTGAGGAGCAGGAAAGTTGATGTTTCGGACCGGAATGTCAACTTTCCTGCTTCTCTGATGCTGCCTGGCATGCTGTGTTCGTCCAGCTCCGCACAGTGTTCTCTGACTCCAGCATCTGCAATTCTTGCTATCTTTTAGTGTTTAAAAACAGCCAGATAGAACAGGGGTAACTCTGGAAATGTGGTCAGCAAGGAAAGGGTCACTCTCTATACAGGAAAGTTGGAACAGGGCTCACTCTGTTCATTGGCTCTGAGTGGACAAGGGTCACTCTGTACATGGGGTCAGTGTGGACAGACGTCACTCTGCACACAAAGTCAGCGTGGACAAGGATCAGTCTCTATTATCAACAGGGGCTAACTTACTTGTTTCTCTGGCTTCCCCGTTTGTGTTCCTTGTTCTAAACCATCCTAAAATATACAAACTTAGAAATACTTGCATCAAAAAATCCCAGGATCATAGTCTGCAGTCGGCCTCACAGAAAAGTCGGACAGGGGTCACTCTGTATGCGGGGTCAGTGGGGACAGAGGTCACTCTGTATACGGGGTCAGTACGGACAGGGATCACTCTGTACGTGAGGTCAGTTCGGACAGGGGTCAC